ATCGGGGTGAGTCCACGGGATAGACAATCGGCAGGGTTTCCGTACCGGACACGTGATAAAAGTTCCGCGTTTCTAACTCGTCTTGGATCTTGGCCACTCGGTTCGCGACAAACGTATCCCAACGGTGGGGTGAAGAATGAACCCAGCATAAGGCGACGGTAGAGTCGGAAAAGGCAAATATCCTTTCTATGTGAACTCTATTCCTACATGCGCTGATAACTGCGTTAATAAGCTTGGTGAGTACTAATATTGTGCAAAGCTCTAAGCGCGCCAGAGAGATAACCTTACGGGGGGGAGACTCTCGACTTAGAACTAATGAGCCTAATCGAATTTCTACCATTATTCTGAACGTAGAAATATACAACGCCCCCGTAAGCCTTCTCGCTGGCGTCTGCAAACCCAACGACCGTTATGACGCTATTTCTATCGACGTTTATATGACGCGGTATTTTAATTTCTCTTAGTAAAGGAAGTTCTTCTCTAAAATGCTGCCACAACCGAAAAATGCTGTCAGGCGGCGAATCATCCCAATCGCATTCAAATAACCAAAGTTGTTTAATCAAAACCTTAGCGTATAATACCACCGGAGCTACGAAACCCATGACATCCCATAATCTAACAACGCATGACAGTATTGTGCGCTTTGTGCATTTCTCTACGGGCGGATTTACCTTAGGGCTAAACACGTCGGACTCTGGTGACCAACACAGACTGAGCAACTTGTGTGTATCAGAATCGTCGAATTCCTTTATCGCCGAAAGACGGTGTGATAGTGGGATTGTATCTAAAACCGGACGCGAATTACTAGTCCACTTCACAAGATCGAATTGACCCGATTTCATGAGCTTTATAACCTCGGCGGTGGTTAGGGTAGCCTCCTCCACGCTATCGACCGAGTATACAAAATCATCCATATATAAACCACTCTCAATTGCCCTCTTAGCTTTAGGGTAAGAGGGACCTTCATCGTGAGCAAGCTGTCTCACCGTGCGTAACGCATGAAATGGGCTCGACTTTAAACCAAAACAAACGCGGTTAAATTCAAACACCATTAGAGGTTCCTTTGGGTTGAAACGATATAAAATGCGTTGGAATCTACGGTCGCATTCGCGGACCCCTATGCAAAGAAACATTTGGCGAATATCGGCGGATAGTGCTATAGTAAACAAACGAAAATTGGCTATTATATTAAATAAACTGCCCTGTAAATTTTGCCCACTATAGAGGATATCGTTAAGCGACAGGTGAGTGCTAGTTTTAGCACTAGCGTCGAGCACTACACGTAACTTAGATGTAAGTTTGTCCTCCCTAATGACCCCGTGGTGTGGTATGAAATACGACGGTGTGTCTTCGTAATTATCTAATTTCGAAGCCACGAGTGATATGTAACCTTCTCTTATATATTCGTTAATGACGCCGTCATAAGCTTCCTTTAACTGGTCTGAAGCGAGCATCCTACGCTCCAAGCTGTAGAAACGTTTTTCCGCCATTTGACGCGAATCGCCGAGAGATAAAACATCTCCTTTAAAGGGTAGCGCTACACTATATCTACCGTCGCGATCACGAACGGTCGTGCGGACGTAAATTTCCTCGCATAATCTGTCATCTGAGCTAGCTACGGGTGGGACGTTCACCTCCTCCACCTCCCAAAATTTGCGGATTAACGACTCGAGCGGTTCGACAGCCATACCACAATAAGAGGTTGCCGAAATACTATCTATGATGGGGGCGGAGCCAACGATAACATAGCCCAATACGGTTTCCAGTGCGTAAGGCGCGGTATGCGAGGAGTTGCCCCTGACCTTATTGTTTAACAAAAGATGAGGGAAAAGCGATGCTCCGATGAGCATGTCTATGTTTCCAGGAACGGCGTAAGTGTCGTCCGCTAGAGTCAAATTTTTAAATTCAATCATTGCCGAGGTGTCAACCGAAACGGTTGGCAGCCGTTCAGTGACCCTATCCACTATTAGTGCATTTATATCAAAGTTAACATTACGATCTATCCGAGAATAAAATTTTAAATTTCTATATCCCTGGGTAGCTTTACTAGTACCTCCGATGCCTTTGACTACAGGACACGAAAGTGACCTATTTATTACTAAGCCTAAGCGCTGACAACATTGTCGCGTTATAAAGCTATTTTGGGCTCCGCTGTCCAGCAGTGCACGGACGCTTTGTTCGTTTCCACGCGAATCCCTAACCAAAATACGCGCCGTACCCAGTAACACGGTTGAAGGAGGTTGTGCTCCCATATTCGCCAATGAGCACAGAGCGACATCACCAGGTCAACCGCTAGAATCGTTGACTTTAGTAGGGGTGAATTCCTTATCCGCTTTACTTGACGCCGCTATGTTGCTATTTTCAAAATGTAATAGCGTGTGATGTTTCCTGGCGCACTTGCTACATACGGAACTCGAATTGCATTTTGCAACTAAATGCTTATCACTTAAGCAGTTCAGACATAGGTTGTTTGTCTTTACTAATTTATAACGTTCGCTTGGTGAATATTTACGAAAAGTCGCACAATTATATAAATTACCGTGTTTATCTTTACATACGATGCAAGCATGCTGAAGTGGTGCTGACGTAGCGGTTACGTAAGTTAACGACCCTGCTATTTTAGATGGTTGAGTCTGTCTACGGTCGACGCACCTTTTAATCTCCTGTTTAACGTTCGGAGAGCGCTGCATCACCTTTATTTGATCTCGCACGAACGATGCTAATGAATGAAAGGAAGGCATCTCCGAGCTACGATGCTCCATTTCAAACGCACGCACGGTGTCGGGGTCTAATTTCTTTAGTGCAATATGGAGAAACACCACGTCCATAAGGTCATTAAATTTTAAATTCTTAAGTGCAGCCACCGATGCCACAAATTTATCTAAAAACTGCTCTAAGCCGTTGATGTTCGCGGATGATATAGGTTTAAGATCGAATATCTGGTTCAAATATTCGGAAGCTAACATTCTCCCATTTTCATATTTAGTTTTAAGCGTTTCGAATATTAACAAGTAATTGTTTGCTGTAGGTGTAAAACCCGAGCAAATTAACTGTGCTTTGCCACTAAGTTTACTAATTAAATAATATAATTTTTCAGCGTCCGATAACGATGGGTTGTTGTGTATAATGTTTTGAAAACTACTGAAGAAGAAGGGCCATGTCTTAATATCACCATTGAATACCGGAATATCTATTGGCGGCAACCTAATTGAGTCACGTGGACGTACCTGTATTTCCGGGTTTGCTTCGTTTTGAGATTGTAAGAGTTTCTCCGTTCTTTTCACGCGACACATCATATCTTCAAATGCTAGAAGCGGTTGGTAGTTCACTATGTATTTCGGTCGATTTGTAATTCCAAATGATTAATTTGGTCTAATATTCTTTCGTAATCCATCCGCAAAGAATCTACCGTTTCAATTTCATTCAAAAAAGTTTCCCGCACTGCTTCTACATTGATGTTCTTTATGTGATCACTAATACTTTGTATACGTGAAAAAAGTATGTCCCTCTTGGCATAAAGCGTTTTAATTTTAATTTCCTTTCCACTAACTGCCATTTTAAATTATTGTAATAAAGTTATATTAATCACAATTAATCTCACAACGCACAAATAATGAAGGATGGACACTCGTATGCCGTATTACGTAATTAAATCGAACACCTGTTACAGCGAGTCGAGGTGATGCGTTGCTCGCTAAACTCAATATTTTTTTTATCAAAATTGTCGGGTAAGCGTAAAAAACGATTGCTATTACACTGTTTCAATTATTTAAGCGACTAATAAGCTTTAAATTTAAACCAAATATAAACACTATTAAAATGAATAATTCTGTTTGCGAGTACCTAACCAAAATTAAAATTTAAACGAACACTATTTAAGACCATTCTATAACTAAATATATACAACTTAGAGTGCATTATCTAAATAATTAATTTAATAATTCGACCAGAAAATGGTTGAACGACTACTAAACACCAGTCCAAATCCTGCCGAAGTGACCATAAAATGGTGGAGCGTCGAGCCTACGGTTGCCGAAGTCTAATTCCCCGGTCGAACCCTAAAACCTATTACGCGAGCTATTAATCTAAGTGGACTGTATCTACAAAATGTTTCTACACTTATATAAACGGCGACTATAGCATGCGGTACAATGCACTCGCTCTTCCCTAAAAACGAACTATTATTTGCCAAATCGATGAAAGGAATCCTGCTTGATTAGGAGAAAACAAAATTGGAGCAGGTTAAAACACAGTTATATCAAGCAGGCTATATTATTAGGAATATTGACTCACCGGGGTTCAGTCTTCTATGCTGTTGGGCACTATAGCTGCGACTTCTGGAACTTCTTCTGGACAGACACTCTGGGGCGAGGCGGTGCGCGACTATATCTCACACGAGGTGAGGCGGGTTTCCTGGAGCTCGACTGCTTCCAGGCTAAAGCGGTTCTACTAGCGGTGTGGTTCCAACAACGGGCGCGGCGGGAAGAGAGTGCGCGTCGGTCGCGCGTGCCTTTTATATCTTCGGTTGCGATGATTACGTGATAATCTAGAATCATCTTCTTTCCCCTCCCACCCCACCACCCCGATGTGTCGATAGGAGGGTATGAATGATATCGTTTTGGAAAGGGATAACCGATTTGGCAGCCTACCGTCAAATTAAATAATTACGAATGGTTTTCCGCGCAACCAGTCACTCTTTCCTCATTCATTCTTTCTATATGACCAAACTACCGAAGCATTCCTTTCTTAATCCTGGTCACAACATCATCTTGCATACCACATTTATCTCTTATCACGCAATTTCTCACCCTGTCATTCAGATTCAACCCTAGCATACTTCTTAAAGATCGCATTTCTACAGCATTTATTCTACTTTCGTGCTTCTTCTGCCACACCCAGCTTTCACTACCATACATTAAAGTAGCGACTAACATAGCATTATGATTTACAAACAGATTTTAAAAGAGACCTTGATATTTTATATCATATTGTTCATTCATTTGAATAATGAAAATGGAAGAAGGCAAAGTATTTTTGAAAAGACGGAGAGAGCTACGTCAACCGGGAAACTTTACAAAGAACACGGAAAACGGGAAAAAAGATGTAGAAAAAGACATTTGGACGAAGAGGAAAGAAAACTAGGACAAAGAGAGTTATTGGCTGTTGCATCGACTTCTACTACAAATAACTTGGAACCTCCACAAGATTTAGACAAAGAACGAATTCTGAATTCTGAAGTTAGCTTGCCAGAGATTCTCTGCGCAGAAATAAGTTCAAAAAGAGGTAGAAAGAATCCGATATCATCTAAACTTGTCACAGATTTACATGGATGCCGGCATAAACAAATCCTCGATCCAGCGAATTTGTACTGAGACGAAAAAAATCCAGGGTTTGCTTTATAAGCCATAAAAATTGACCTTCAGAACAATGTGCTTGACATAGTCATAGTGCATTTGGACGGAAAATTATTACCAGGTATTTCTACTATTTAGTACGTTTCGAATATTTTAACAAAGTTTTTAATCAATTTATTGATTTTGAAAGGCAGTTACTATAATACTTAATGTCGGAAATGTATTTATTTTAAGTTAATGCTTGTTACATTCAAAACAGCCTATGATGAATGCTATAAGAGACGAGAATGGCTATATTCTGAATGATGAAGTTTTGAGTTTAAAGAGATGGAAGGAATATTTTGAAAGCGTGTTTATGAGTGAGGAGACAACGTGTATATTAAGTGAAGTAGAAACACCGAAAGAAGAGGAAAGAGGTAGCGAGATAAGTATAGATGAAATAATGAAAGCAATGAAAAGCATGAAAGCAGGTAAGGCTGCCGGATATGATAGAGTTTCACTCGAAATGCTAAGGGCTGGAGAGGAAGTGGTGGCAGGCCTGCTGCATACCTTGTATAATTTATGCTGTGGAACTGAAGCGGGTACCGGTAGACAGGTGCAAAGCCGTGATAGTCCCAGTATATAAAGGAAGAGGGTCGCAGCAGGACTGTAAAAAATACCGTGGCATCAGCCTTCTTAGCATTGTGGGAAAACTGTATGCTAAGGTACTAATTGAAAGGGTCGTGAAAGAAACTGATGGAAAAATTTGGGATGTGCAAGCGGGATTTAGAAAGGGAATGGGATGTACAGATCAAGTCTTTTCCATGCGCATGATCGCGCAGAAGTTTCTGGCCAAAAACCGAAAGGTTTTTTGTGCGTTCATGGACTTGGAAAAGGCCTATGACAGAGTGGATAGGGATTTACTATGGCAAACACTGAACTCATTTGGGCTGAGCGCTGGCTTGATACAGGATTCTTGATGAGGCTTGATTGGAGTCTCTTTATAGGGACTCTAGTGCTTTTGTTAGGATCAACGGGGTCTACTCGGACTGGTTTAACATCCATAAAGGTGTCAGACAGGGCTGTGTGGCTTCCCCGTGGCTGTTCAACCTATTTATGGGCAGTTGTTTGCAAAATTTGAATGTTGAAGAATGCGGATTAAGAATGGGTGAGTAAACCGTCAAATGCCTTTTGTACGCCGATGATCAAGTTATTCTTGCGTCGTCGGCGGCCGAGTTGCAAATGATGGGTACATTAATGAACGGATCATTAAAAGAAAGGGGTATGAAAGTGAACGCAAGTAAGACGAAGGTTATGGTTTTTGAAAGAGAAGAAAGTAAAACGATTTGTGAAATAACAATAGAAGGGAGTTGATCGAGCAAGTAGATAAGTTTGTATATTTGGGCTACGTATTTAGCAGGGATGGGAGATATGATAAGGATATAGAACGACGAGTGAATGCGGGAAATAGAGTAAATGGGGCCTTGCACTCTATTGTGAAGAGTCAAAATGTGTCGAAAAAGGCACATATGGCAATTCACAATGCTGTGTTGGTCCCTACTTTAACGTATGGTAGTGAAAGTTGGGTGTGGCAGAAGAAGCACGAGAGTAGAATAAACGCAGTAGAAATGCGGTCGTTAAGGAGTATGTTAGGGCTGAATCTGAATGACAGGGTAAGAAATTGTGTAATAAGAGAAGAGTGTGGTTTGCAAGATGATGTTGTGACCAGGATTAATAAAGGAATGCTTCGGTGGTTTGGTCATGTGGAAAGAATGAATGAGGAAAGAGTGACAAAGAAAATTTATGGTGCAGAAGTGAATGGCAGAGTCGGAAAGGGACGTCCTAGGCGAAAATTTATCGACCAAATTGGCGATTTATTGAAAACGGGCCAAATTAGGAGTACCCTTAACCGACGAGCATGTATGCGTAGGTGTATGGATGTGAAGGAGGCAAGAGAGGTGTGTCAGGATTGTGCCAAATGGAAGTCTGTAGTCTCTGCCTACCCCTCTGGGTGACTCTGCCTGACCTCTGGGTGGTGAGTGTTTATGTATTTATGTATATAATAAAATAATATTGGAAAAAAAACCCCTCTGTGGTAGGCAGAGACTACAGACCCACACCCCTCTGGGTGACAGGCGTGAGTGTTTATGTCTATTATGTATGCTTGTTAATGTTTTTGATTTTTTTTAATATTAATTCTAAGATGATTTTAGTCGGCTTTATATCGAAATTAATTGTAAATTATTAATAATAATAATGAGCCATCACAATTCGTACTTACCATATTGGTCTAACGAATAAGTGACTTTATTATTAAGCACACGTTTACGTTGAAGCTAGAGCTGCTAGGTGCTATTATGCAGCACTAGCCCATATATGGCAGCAAAACCTCATGCACGACCGGACTAGTGCTTCATATAGAGTATTAACAGCTGTCCTGGTGCCTGGTACTGCCGCAAACTTGCAAAGATTCCTAAATTCTTTCCAGCTGCTTTGGCCTTGGACTCAATGAACCGTCCATAGTTTAGGTTTGAGGAAATGTCACCCCCCAACAACTAAAGGCGGTCGGTGTATTCCATTTTTTCGTATAATTTTGTTTTATTTCCAACAAGGTAAGCAGGCTTTTTTGCAGTGGAGAGACACGATTGTGTGGCATCGCCCCTTTGGAGACTGCCTATAGTGTGTGATTCACACAATCATAACTTCTTTTTTTGTCTGTCTGCATATCCATAGAAATCGGGCATAACCAGATTATTATTATACAGTAGGAAGAGAGTTGCGGAGAGAACGGTTCACTGAAGGACTTCAGCGTTAGTCGTCTTCGAATCAGACGAGCAGCTGTTCACGACAACTCAAAGAGACCGTTTACTTAGAGAAACTTTCATTCACTTCATCAGGCCTGAGAATAAGCCATTCACTGGGAGCTTTCCCAAAAGGATAGCATGCCAAACCCTGTCAAAGGCCTTCAAGACATCAAATGAAAGCGCCTCACCCCATATGCGCGCGACATACGAGTACGCTAGAAAGTCCCCAGCTGAACGATTTTGGCGAAACTCGTACAGACTGTCACTGAAGAGGTCATGACATTACATGCCATGAGGTGAGTGTTTTACACTCCATAATGCTGCAGAGTATGGAGGTAATTGAGATTGGTCTATAATTGGCAAAGTCGGCACGGTTGCCTTTTTTTGGAACAGGCTGCAAATTGGCCAACTTCCATGATTTTGGCATTATTTCAGTCCTGAATGAGAGGTGAAAAAAGCGTGTCAGTACAGGAGATATTCTGGTGTACAAGCCTTTATAACTGTAGCTGGCATATAATCTAGTCCACTAGCTGGACTTCGGAAAGTTGTAAGAACCTCTTTGTCGGTGATGCACCTCTGACATAGAAGTATCGCAGTTATCGTATTCAGATGGAACGTTGTCGGCACTGTCCAGACGTAAATTTCAGTCAAAGAGAGACGCGAACAAGTCCGCTTTCTCTTCAGCTGTGTGCGCTAGTATGCCGCCGGGATTTATCAGCAGAGGAAGTGTTCAACAGAAGTCGAACGATGGAAACTGGTTTTTCTTAACGCATTTTATAGTGCTCTGCGGCCTAGTTAAAAGCTCTGTTTTTGAAGCTAATATCCAGTGCTTTGTGGTCTCGAGCGTAAGCTCAGGATAGATACGCCAAATGCTTGCGCTTTTCAGCTTTTTATTTTTGTTAAACCATGGGTGAGATTTGCAACCGATGCGAGCTTCTCCCTACAGCTGTGTTGTCGTCTACATACCCGTAGATACTGGGGATAAGCAGATCATTAATATGCAGTAGGAAGAGAGTTGCGGAGAGAATGGACCCCTGAGGAACTCTTCATAGGATCGGATGAGCAGTCATCCATGACAACTTGGAGGGAACGTTCAATCAGAAAGTCCTTCACTGTTGGGCCAGGAGATAAGTCGTACGCTGGAATCTTACACCCAATTAGCTAAAGTAGCTCCGAAAAGTAATACTATTATTATGCTTTTACTATTATATGATATTATGGTCTTTATGTTTTTTTGCATGCACTTGTGATATTATAATATCTGATTGATAGATAATAGCTTCCTTTAGTATCCGAAAACTCTCGTTGCGGTCTAAATCGAATAGACTATTATAATCATATTTAACTTATCTCTTCCATCTTCTGCAGTAAGACTGTGTTGTATGAAAGTGAAAATTAATTCGATATGTATTTGTGAATTACGCAGTGTTTCAATTTAAACATTAAGCGACCAACTCTACTGAATATATACCGATGTTTGTTTAGTACATACCAATATGCTAAACTTGCTTCATAAATATCTCTTATCGGACATTTAGTACCTACGCAAGTTGCCCAGCATCAGTAGCGTCTGTGGCGCTTAATCTGTAATAAACTTTTATGTGAAACAAGAGCGGAATAAAAGGGAAATCAGTAAAAGCTTATATATTAAATGAGTACTGAGGGATTTGTTGTTTTGTTCAGTTTTTACGTGCGGTAAATATTTAAAGGTCAAAAATCATGTACTTAGAGTGTAGTGTAGTGTAGATTTAAATGAAAATTATGAAAGAAATTTATTTAGATCAAAAATTTTGCTCGTAAATAATATATTTATAATTAAATGCAACTGTATCGTGAATTTTTGAGGAACGGTCGCGAGCCGTGTGTACGCACGCATGACTTCTTGCATGCACGCTTGTCTCTCACAACTGTAACACACTGCTCCCCGTGGACTGCTTCACTGCTTCAATCTTGGTCTTATACGCTTGGCGTAAAGAGATACCGCCATTTATCAGAAGTAATAAGAGACTTCTGGCATTTTCATACAGTCACCTCTTACAATACCCAAAGAATAAAATGGGGTGATGGATTTTCTAACGCAGCCACCACACGGAAAAATCCTAATTTTAGTTTTATTTATTTATAGCTAAATGATCATTGTCTTGCTGTGTAGTGATCACGTAAGAATATCTACAACTCCATATCACCCCATGGTTGTCGTAATTGGCGATACAAGGGAACCAAAACAGGAAATGGGCAGCAGCATGACTGATGACAAATGAAAATGAAAAAAAAGGCTGTGGTTGCCAGCCCGTCTCGCAAGTGTAGTAATTGTGGCAAAATTTCCCCATGAGGCAATCTATGGGGAGGCCCACGTTCAGCAGTGAACTTTTCGTAAGCCGCAATGAATGAATTAAATTAATAATCTTCATTTCTAAGGCTGTAACGAATGAATGAATGAATGAATAGAATGAACGATCGTCATCTATAACGGCCAATAATAGAGATAGGTATTTCAAAATTTTTTGTATTATAGTAATTTGTGAAATATAAAAGGCATTAACTTAATTTGCAACTTTACACTGTTTAAAATTTTCTTAGAAAAGCCTGTTGTCAGTAGTAATATGTAGTGAATACAAAAAACTGATGAAAAAGAAAAAAATTATCTATTATGTCAATTCTTTTTTATAAATTCAATCACTAGGGAAATAGCAGATTTCAATAAATGAGTTTACATCTCTGGGTCATTTAGTATAATAATAAAAGCATTTTTGCTGTTCACGTTTATGGTCTAAAGCAGTTAAGAAAAGCTTTTAAGACATAGACTTGAGAAACATTTTACAGACTTATAAAATGTATACCAACTTCAAGTAAGATAATGTAATATAAACGCCGCATCTGTACGTGAGTTAACGCATAATGGCTTTCCATCTACGGTTGTCTGAAAATTATCTAAGAAAAGTATGACAGTGATTATATCATATTTAATTCATTCTTTATATTTCCGGCACGTTTTTTAATGGTTTAGATCCGTCGTGCGTTTTTGGACATCCATCATATATACAAAACTGAGAACTTGTATTTATAGTTTTATATTAAGAGTAATACATTAATTTATGACTTATGAAAAATCATATGTAAACCTGCATGCCAGATAAAAACTATTTAATGAAGAACACGGACGACCTAGAGCAACGCCGCAGAATAATAATTGTTTCAAGATCCTCTCAGAAATGAAAAGAGGTAATAAGTAGTAAGAGAAATAACAAGATCCCAGCAGAGGTAATAATTTTATTATATCAAATATTAATTCAACTTCATCGGAATGCTCACCTGATTCATCATCTATAGTGTGCTCTTTAATCCTTCTTACCTCAAAAATCGTTTTGACTTTCTTAGACATCAGAGAGCTTGATGTTTATTATATTCAGCCACTACACACTAGTCTTTTACTGTATAGGCCGTTCGTTTATGGAATGAACTACCGTTGGCAGTAAAACGCGAACCATCCCTACCGGTATTTATATAAAACTAGTCAAGCATTACCTCGCACTTTAAATTGTATCTTCGTTTCCACACTAGCCATTAAATAATATGAAGTATATTTTATTTTATTTAATCTTTATTACGTTACATCTTAGGGGGAAATATAACATCAAATGGCTTAGCAAGATCCTCCGTTATACCGAAAATATTGCAGCATTAATTTTGAAATAAATATATGGTAAAGTTGAGGATTTATGTTAAGTACTATGTTAGACGAAAACATGATTCCGTAAAATTTTATCGATAGAAAAAAAAATCCATAGCTACCTCCAAACTGAACAATAAACCGCTGTCATTCATAAAATACTTTAAATAAGATCATGAAACTTTGCATACTAACTGAACTAACTATAAAGCAGGGTTTTAATTACTATCATTTTCACTTAAAAAGATATAACCAAATTCTTTTTCTTCATTCTCTGTCAACCCTGGGAGAATGAACTTAATAAAAGTTGCTAGGTGCTAAAAAATATTAAAACGACTAGACATATATTGTGAATAAATATAATAAGCGCATACATACTAATATATATAGAAAATAATCATCATCATCATTATCATATCATAGTGCTATGCTGAGGTATATGAATCTTAAGGCCGTTAGAGGAACTAGGTTCACGGTCAATACTTGAATACCGAAAGTGGAAGTTATCTTTAAGATAAGAAGGAGACGTCGGATTATTTAATATAGAGAAAAGGGTTAGTAATATTCTAGAGCAACGTCTCTGACAAATAGAAAGCCATTTAAGTCGTATATTCGTAAGTTGAAGATAAATCTTATACAGTTGTTGAGATTGCGCTCCAACTTGTTAAGATGATTTTGCGAGAGGTCTGGATAGTACATATTTGCATAGTCTATAATTGGAAGTATAAGAGAATAAGCCATTGATTGCATTTAATGTATGTATGTATGTATAAAAGACAATATATTATATATATTGTCTTTTTTACATCTTTTTTTCTATCGCACCAATTTGCCCTGTCATCTTCGTGCATTAATTGGTTGACTGGAAGAAATTGCTACCAGCAATAAGACCGAGCATTGTATACTTCTTTTTTATATATAATTTCTGTAATTTTTGTAAGGTGTGCAATAAAGATTATTAAACAAATAAATAAATGAATAATTTGTACCTAACCAGGGCTTGCTTAGAGTAATATCAAGTATGAAATTTATTTATTAAAGACACATGCGTGCACAATCATATTAATCTTAACTATCAAAGTATTAATGCAAAAATACACTTCTTTTGGTAGAATATCAACATCACAATATCTCAACATCAACTTAATATCCATCCAGTTCAAGTGTTTTCAAAGAACCCTATTGAAAGTTTTAGCATATTTTAGCCTCATAATACGCTGCTAAAACTTTCATGCCCATTTTACTTTTAGGATTCAATAATAAGGACGTTTACCAAAGTGTCTCGATGATGGCACGCACGAATTGTAAGAGTTCACTTTTTACTACTTTCCTCATTATTATTGCAGAAGCAATGCCAGTGCGAGCATGTTTTGAATTCCACTTCCCTCGTGAATAGCGAAACCAAACTACGATCCATTTTATTATGAATTTTTTAAATGAAATTATCCAGGCTTATTAGTATTAATAATTGATATCTGTATATTTAATATTTTATTAGAATTTATATTCAAAACAAAATAGCATATGAAGGGTATTATATAGGTAAAAAACATAGCCTTTTTTATGGTTTTCTATGTCAAATTAGTTCTTACAAATAAAATTTAACAAAATAACATCTTTACCTTGGAACGCATGCTTATTTATTTATTTATTTTTATTTAAAACTGAGTTAAAAAATGAGCAGAAAAAAAGAATATATAACATATTCGACGCGTATGTTTTTCTGTTTTATGTACTTTCACCGATTTATCGGGAAAGGCTGAACTGTTTTATTACTATACCACTAACAAACCGGACATTAAGGCCAGTATTGTTAAACGGTTTCAAAGAACTCTAAAATCGAAAATTTAACTCATGACAGTACATATAGAAATATAGACGTTTTACAAGATTTTTTTCCAAGTAGTCGCATATAAATTTGAAGAAAAATCCATTCCAAAAAGTGAAAAAGAATGTAGGAGATTAAGATTTTAATGTGCACTATATAGGCAACCCCCATATTCAGAGTTACGAAGAAACGGCCCCTAGTCACCGGCGGCCCCGCTATTCCCGGCTACGGTAGCAACCTTGGTAACGGCAGGGCAGAGAGTGCTAAGAATCCCCGGTGGGGGTTCGGTTGTCACCTAAGACGACTCGACCTGGTAACATAATATAACGCACGCACCCTGAGAACTGCCGAGAAGATCCAGGAGCTGGAAGAAGAGATAGACTGGGATATTATAGGATTATCTGAGGTCCGAAGGGAGAGGGAGGACACGGTAATCCTCGAATCCGGTGACTTGTTCTATTACCGGGAGGGCGACCATCTGTATCAAGGAGGTGACGGATTTATCGTCCACAAGTCTCTCGTTCGTTAACAACGTTGTAAAGATAGTGAGTGTATCGACGAGGGTTACTTATACTAAGTATAAGGTATGAAACTCTCTGAGAATCACCAAACGGTATTCGTTGAAGGTCATACCGGTTTACGCACCAAGCTCGGCACATCCCGATGAGGACCTGGTGGAAATGTATGTAATGTATCTCCAAAACCATTTATTCCTACAAAACCCACTATCCGGTGTTGATGGGAGATTTCAACGCAAAACTAGATACAAAAGAAGACGGTGAGCTGAAGATAGGACAATTCGGAATAGGGCAACGGAACCCAAGGGGCCAGCAGCGGTCCTACTTCATGGAGAAAGAGGGACTCTTTATGATGAACTCTTTATTTCAGAAGCGGCTCCATAGGAAATGGACCTGCTCGTGGCCCGACGGTTCGACAAAAAATGAGATTGACTTTATTATGACAAATAGACGGCAACTATTCAGTGATGTCTCAGTGATTGCTAGGGTGAAAACTGGCAGCTATCACCGAATGGTTAGAAGCACACTGAACCTAAACGTTAAGTTGGAGAGGTCTCGTCTAATTAAGTCAACGCTTCGTACCCCTCGTGCTCTAATCCAAAAACCCCGAAACCCGAAAACTTTCAACTCGAGTTACAAAACCGTTTTCAGAGCCTAGAGAACTGCAATACAGTGGTAGATATGAATGATAAGCTCGTGGAAACTGTCCATGTAATTGGAACTAAGTTTTGTAAGACCCGTCGCAGAAGAACATAAAAAAGTCTCCGATTACACTCTTAATATCATGGCTGCTAGAAGAAATGAAGCAATATTATTTAGCAAATTTGAGAGATCAGATCTCCAAATGCACGCGGCAGGACTTACGTAACTTCAGTACAGCTCGTATTGAAGAAGCGATCGAGCGGAATCAGGGCTTCATAGCCTTAGCCAGCGATCTGTTTGCCAGAAAGAGCCAACTGTCGAAGCTGTAGACCGAGTTATTTTTTGAGCGAGATTGAGAGGTTTTATGGGCAGCTTTACATGTAATTTTTGGAGCCACACGCAAGTGTAAGTAACGATCTAAGGCCAAGTCTTATCCGACACTACTCCGATGATATCCCGGACGTCAGTCCAAACATGATTAGAATGGCTCTCCAGCACCTTAAAATTGGTATGGCCCCCGGCGAGGATGTTATATTAAAGTGCTGAAGCTCTGTACAGTAGGGCTACGTTGGCTATCCGAGTACAGATCCAGAGTACGAAACCTATCCATCTGCAGAGACATTGTGACGTTATATACTCGTTACTCTTCACCGCTGCATTGGAAGATGTTTTCAAGCTACTAGATAGGAAAGGATGCGGTACTAACGTCAATGGTGAGTAAATTACTCATCTTCGATTTGCCAACTATATAGTCCTTGTAGCAGAATCGCTGGAGGACGTAAGCTCAATAGTGTCTCCTTACGGATAGGTCTTAACATGAACATGGACAAAGCAAAGATCATGTGTAACGTCCATGTCATACCAATGCCGATAGTTTTTGGGAGCACTAAGCTCGAAGTTGTTGACGAGTATGTTTGCCTGGGACAAATAGTCCAACTAAGTAAGTTCAACTTCGACCGAAAGGTCTTTATTTAACTCGGCTGGGCAACGTTATACAGATGTGAACCGATTAATAATATTATTTTTCATTAAAAATCATTACTTGATTTGCATTATTATTATATACTTGATTTGCATTATTATTGATACTTCATTTGCGTACTTGATATGCAAAGTAAACAACTTTTCGCCGTGTTATGGCGATGCTGGTGTAAGAGATCCCATCATCCTATCTCATTTTGTTGATTGAGAAGTGACAGCAAGATGTCATGGCCTTCGATGATGGCTGTTAGAGACGCATTTCAGTGAGCTTTACCATATTGGGTTACATCACAATTTGCTATTATGTGGGAAAAAAAAAATAGATATCTAGTAATAATATAATCGCCAATCCACCTGCTAAGCGAAGCTTTTATGTTAAATCCTTTCCTATTTTCGTATCACGAAATTTTGAATAAAGTTAATGTACGCAAGAACTAATCTGTATTACGAGTAAATCCAATGAGCTCCTTTTGATGTTTCCTTAAGATGATAGATTCTCTTCATGGGCGTCGGTCTTTAATAGGTTCTTGAATGGTAATAATATATTTTCTTCTATTTTATATTCTTTTCATTGTATAAAACGGATTTGTAATAAGTTATTGTTTATGTTCGTGAGACTTAAGTTTTTTTTTTGTATTAAAATACTGAAAATATAGTTTCACATTTTGGTTTTGTTCTGTCTAATGGTTTTACTTTTTTTTTAAGTTTCGGCAATAAAGTGGGATGCGCCGACACCATACGACCCAGTGTGGCTCGCGAGTGTTCAGACCTACCCACCTGCCTTTGCTGTTAATGAAACAAGACTCTGGTTTTGGGGTTGGGTTTATGAGCAAGATGTCCAATTCCAATTATTCACTAGGTAGTTATTATATATTATTTTTTAAATTTACATAATTTCTTATATAATTAAAGAATCCAAACAAATGTTTCCTTAGTAACAATAATGTAATATAACAAAATTTTGTTATAGCATTATAGATTAAACAGCAATAGAAGTAAGAATATTTATGATATTTTCTTATTTTAATGAATGATTTAAACGTAGTGCTGTCATTTAGTTACGTTTTTGATTTATCAAAAATAACAAGAGAGTTATTTCCTGCGTTGAATTGTTTATACAATTCCATTTAAAACTTATTTAAATGCTATATATTTTACCTACATTAGTCTATATTTATGTTATGAGCACCTTATGAATTATTTCAGACGAAATCCATTCGACTCTCAAGAAATCAAAATCAACGATACGGCTTCGTTGCGAAATTCTAATTTTGACTTCAACAATAAAGTGAAAGTTCTAACACATGGTTGGCTTAATCATGGTTCCAGTCCTATGCCTGAATCTATCAAAGAAGGTAATTTTAACGACTTCCAATGTTAATAAATGGTTGCTTACAAAAAATAAATCAAACACAAAATAATAGTTGGTTTATTTTCCTTTTATTTATAATATGATGCTGATATAACATGTAGGAATACGGCTGGTTTTGTAAGGTACATGAATTATACGATTTGGTATAATCACGGTGTAGTGATTGTGTAAGATAATCCACTACCCCGTACAGGATGATCCTGTGAGCGTTATAAAAAAGGCGACAGAGAAATGAAACAGGACATGGGTAGCAACTTCTCCGTGATAGCAACTCAAAAATATTAAAAAACTGCGATTACCAACTATGGCATATAATATATGAAACATTAGACTACGAGGCAAACTATCGAGAAGGCCTTTGTTTTATCTTCAACGTAGTAGTGAACTTTTGATAGGTTGTATTTTCCCCAATTTTTTTAAAGAGGTTACTACCACACAATAATTTTATCCCATATTGTGGATGCAGTTTATATATATAAATTACCCAAGGATAAACAATTACTCGTAGGCCATACACATACCTGTTTCGTACGACATTCGAACATGCGTTACTTACCGTCGTAATTCATTGTTAAGCCAAAACTTCACGGAGCTGTAATCATGATTATATAAGATTTTTTAATCTTAAATATACATAGTAGTAGTGTTAAGTTGACTGATAATTTTATTTATATTTTCACTTAGAAGGAATGAAAAAAGTTATTTCAGCAATTATTTTTGATGGAATTGCAGCTAGCCCGCAACCTGCCAAGGAACATAGCTATTTTCTTTTTTATAATGGCGTAGCAGAAACTAGTATGCGCCTTTGCAATCATGCCTGATGCACTGCATTATCGAGTTAGCTCCAACAAGATCCTGAAGCCATTGTTGTATTGGACACGTAAGGCGTCGACAGTCCCCTATGAATGATTCGACTCCAAGCTACACGTGTTGAAAACTTGACAGTAGGCTTTAAATAATGTTATCTTTACTTGTTCACTATAATCTGTAAACATGCGCCCAGCTTATTACGTCGGCGCTCTTTAAAAAAAACTCAAATTTAAAATACGCAGAGTGAATTTAACAAATATTTCTTTATTTTACAGCCTATCTGAACATCAGTGACCTTAATATAATTGTAGTAGATTGGGGTAAAGCCGCAAATGTTAACTATATACTCGCCAGTTACAATGTTGCCATGGTAGGCAGACTGTTAACCGAGTTCCTGAATTTCCTAATTTCCGAAGGAGTGTCTATGGACGACGTTCACCTAATAGGGCATAGTTTAGGTGCTCATGTGGTGGGGATAGCTGGAGCTTATGTAAAACAAGGACCAATTGACACAATAACCGGTGAGTCATCACTGTTAATTTATGTAATGGATCTGAAGTAGTTTTGTATTAGTGATTTCCGAAATATTTCTTCTTTGTTCTATTGTAATAGAACCGTAAAGTCTTCCAATTTTCAGTGGATTATTTAGAGGTATTACTCCGTTTCTGACTAGCGTAGTGGTGCCATAAGAGATCCACTACACATGTAAATAACGTAGATTTATTATATTAATGTTAAGGCTTTTTTTAGATTAGAAATAATGTTGGTCTCAAAACACTTCCTTGCGGTACACCAGATTGTATGATTCTGTATTTAAACGAACCGTTGATTTAGCGGAATAAAATGCTAAAAAATATGCTATATGCTAAACTGAATTTATTCACTCCGCTTAATTGTGTAAACATGCTAAATTTAGTCATAAAAATGCTAAATTATCAGCACTGGTCGTAACGTCCTTTTGATGTATGATGAGAGTTGACAGAGAAAATGAAACAGACGAAATTGACAGCAACATCTTCTTGTTGAAATCTACAAATAATATAATACTGCGGTTGCCAATCCGCTATTAAAGTGTGGCAACTATTGTAAATATCCCCTCTATGCGGTAATCTTTAGTGGAGGCCTATGTTTGGGCAGCGGACTTTTGATAGGTTGTAGGGAATTAGTGAATGAAAACTCTATTTTTGTAAAAAGAGTAGTATTAAACAAAAATCGAATAAAAAGTAAAATCATGTGACCGTGTGATCTACTAGAGGCTTCCAATCAACATTGAAATAAGTTTAATTTTGCGTTAAATTTGGGAAAATGAGCATTAAGTAAACTAAACTTGGTATTGTTAATTGACCAACGGAATTTTGACAAACAAATTATGTAAAAACTCTCCAAAATGCGTAAATATTAATTCAAAAGACTGGTGATTAGAAGCAGTATTAGTATTACCAGTACAATAATACGGTTTTGTGCACACTAACCCTTCTGCTTTGCTACAAAGGCACTACGCTAGCCCACCCAGTATGGGTATCTCTTCCAGAAAATGAATGCGAGCTATTGTTGGAAAGGTTTATGTCAAGTAGATGATCTCAACTTGAAGGGAGGTCACGGTCGTTCTGCAAACTATGGAGACGCCTATACTCAGGGTGTATCTGCGGATGTCTTAGTGAGGATATAGGCAGTAGAACCAGAGTAACCAGCATAGTCCAATGAATTAGTAACCTAAAGTGGCATAAGGCCAGCTACATATCTCGCTAAAACGATAACTGATAGGAAAGAAGGGTTAAACTCTTCTTTTTTTAGACCCGGTAAGTGATCTCCAACTAGTGCCGCCCCTTTACTAGTTGGAGTGCAGGTGTTTTAGGATTGTCCTTTATAGTAATGCTTCGTAAGACGAATAACGATGAAAAGCGATAAAACTATGTTCCTTTTTTATCAGAACTACTTAATGCATAATGAATTTATTTATTTTAGGACTAGATCCAGCACTTCCGCTTTTTTCAATAAGTAATATAAATGGACGTTTAGACAAACACGACGCTCGGCATGTTGAAGTCATTCACACTTGTGGTGGTTATTTAGGTTTTGCTGCGCCCCTGGGTCATATTGATTTCTATCCTAACGGCGGAACTCGGCAACCTGGTTGCCGCCTCGATTATAGAGGTAAGATACTTTAAGTTTAAGCATGTAATTACAAATTATAAAGTGATAGTAGAAGGCTTAAGTTCAGCATTCATGACACAAGAAGGCCAGGAAGGGTCCAAGACATAGAAAATTGTATACAATAAAATACATATATGTTGTTACGCGCCACAAATAATTTATGGTACATGGCGATACTAGTTACCACTAGCGCCTTCCAGTATGGAGTAGGAGAACTAGGAGAGTAAAGATCCTTCTAGAAATTTCCATGCTAGAACTTTCTGGAACTATTGACATCTAGTTAGTCGGGATCGGTATACACTCGAACATTCTCGATGTTTCTACAGTTGAAGGTTCTGGAACTATCTGAGGCCGTATGTAGGCGGGAATAGAGCGCGACACGAGTCAGTATTAAATTGGCGATCAAGCGATATTTCGAAACGATATAACTGCGAACTAAAGTGATCAATAATACAATAGTGTTTTGTTATTGGTGTGGTTTTAAGATGAAATTAGTGTTCTGTAATTAAAGTGTCAATTTTAGTATTTCACTCGATAGTTTTACTGTTGTAATTTTTATTGTGCCCAAGCTCGTGACAATATAGTATGCATATAGCGCAAGCATTGTTATTTATAAACTCTTACACTTACTTTCTTTTCATATATATTTGTAATTTTGGGCTATTTTCGTGTAATAAAACATTACACAAATCTTACAATATCAGTGACAGTAGGTTAATGTGCATGTGGGTTGGCTCTTGGGGCACCCTAATGCCGCGTAGATTATGATGATATAAAATATAATATAACTTTTTTATTTAAAAATTATCGGACAAATAAGTACTTTTTATTTATACGATTATCGTATGAATAATTCTTTTATCATATAATTAGCAACAGTCATAATAATTCTAAAAAGAAGACTTCATATTCGACCAATTTTTATTTTTTCACACTCAACACCAACTCCTCTCACTTGCTCAACAAATACAGCTCAGATTAACAAAAAATTATAACTAACAAAAATCTCTACTAACAATTCCTAACAATCCAAAAAAAATTTTTATTAATAAAAATGCCACCATTCTATCCTCCTTTAACCGGAATAACACAAGCACTGCAATTTGGCCTATCCAGACGGACTCCTAGGCAGAAAAGAAGTCCTAACACCTAGTAAAATATTATATATTCATTTAGAGGATCCCCTTTTTAATAAAAGTTATTACTTGTATTAAAAGGGTGATCCCATACAAAAAATTAAAAAAATCACCAGAAAGGATGGAAACATAGAGAATAAAGTTTTAATATAATGATATAGACGACATTCTAGTTATTACCTTGGACTTGTGATATTCCTTACAAGCATTTAAAGCATAAAGTTGGATTAGTTAACGCAATATTTATAGTATTAATAGCATTGCTATTGTTTTCTTAAGTGTCTAAAAATGTAATAAAAAGGTAAAAAAAGTATTGCCGTACAAAAATCAATAATAAATTTTGTTTTTAGGACTCTGCGCGCATAATCGAGCACACATGTATTTTTCTGAGTCTATCATATCGACTGTTCCATTCACTGCCGTCCGCTGCAAGGACTACGACGAGCTTTACTACAATGGTTCATGTAAGGGAACTGGAGAGACTCTTATAATGGGCGGTTTTGACATACACTATGGGTTAGTATTTTTTATACGGTCATACGTGGAAGAGCTGTGGTAGCTCAGATGGTTAACGCTCGCTGTAAATATAACAGAACGCGAGTAACCCAGGTACGATCCCCGCCGGTATCAATGAAATTGTTAATTGCAATTTTAAGTGCTGATTTACCACGTGCTCGGCGGTGAAGGAAAACATCGTGAAGAAACCTGCATGTCTGAGGAATAAAAAAATATTTCGAAGACATGTGAAGTTCGTCAACACGCATTGGGGCAGCGCGGCGGACACTTCCTTGCCCTAAAACCCTATCAGAAATGAGGGGAGGCCTGTGCTCTCTATTATCTTGATGTTAGTGCTGTTAGTCTATGCGACTCTTACAGCTTCATCTTGTCTCAGGGCTCGCTAGGGCAGCTAATTAAAAAGGGAAAGGCAATGAGGTGAAAATGATGATGAGATGGTTTATGATTTGATATTGTTACCAATCATCATGTCGCCTTTTAGGCGTTTTTCTTTGAGCTATCTAACCGCAGGGGTGCAGACCCCCTTCTCTGACTGCTCAGCTCGTGTCGGTCGATGGTCTGGGCGGTGAGAACCGTCCAGGAACGCGGGTGTACGGTGTGTACGCGGTGTGAGCTGGAACGCGTCGTGCCCGTCTACGGGTGCGACGCGTCCCATTGGTTGTCCTATTTGTGTTTGTCCCATTTAGTGTGGGTGTAGTGTCGTTATATGATGTGCCTGCGACGCTTGGGTCGACTGGATCGAGCGATATAGGTGGTTCTATTAAAACATTTCGCGGTCTACGGAGATAGGGCGCGACGTTTGCTATCTGATCGCAGTTAGCTGCTCTCCTTAAAATATTCGGAGATATATGGTAGTTCACAATCATTGTGTAAATCAGAGTTCCGTTGATACCACCGTGCAGGTGCAGGCCTTTCGGATGAAAAAGTTTTGTACTCTTTAGAGTTTTAAAATATGGGTCTTATATATATGGGCGAAAGCTACACTTGCATAGGACATAACTGGTCTAATGCAGGTTTTGTACAGCCGGAGTTTGTGTCTTAGCGACAGTTTACTCTTGCTGTTAACGAGGGGGTGTAGACGGCCAATTACTGACTTGGCTCTGTTGCGTACTACACTTACGTGCGTCTTGAAACTCATGCGGGAGTCGAAAGTGACGCCTAGATATTTGGCCGATTTTTCCCAAGGGATTGGGCGGTCGTATAAAGAGATTGTTTTGGGTTTAGAACCTCCTGTAGAATTCCGTTGAAAGTATACTGCTACACTTTTTTCGGGATTCACGTCAATTCTCCATAGGCGGAACCATTCACCAAGGCGATTGGTCGCTTTTTGGAGCTTAATAGCGAGTCTATGTTTGTTGGGGTCTGACACAAAGAGTGCCGTATCGTCGGCAAAGAGAGCGGTGTTCACTACGGGGTCTTTTGGGATATCACTCGTGAAGAGTGTGAAAAGGAGTGGAGATAGTACGGAGCCCTGTGGGACCCCGGCCTTGAGGAAACGTTTCGAAGAACGAGTTCCCTCCACTCGATATCGAAAAGTGCGGTTCGAAAGGAAAGCTCGTATGATGTGCACGAGCCTATCGGGCACGTTTAGTTTGTACAGCTTGTAAATCAAGCCGTCGTGCCAGACCTTGTCAAACGCCTTCGCGACATCGAAGAAGAGGGCTCCCGTGTTTCGAGACTTTTTCCTTAACGGGTTTTGGCTGAAACCAGACAGAATGTATTCTCTTAGGCGATGAATCTGGTGAGTGCATGAGTGATTGGCTCTAAAGCCGAACTGTTCGTCTGGGAGGAGTCCGTTAGCTTCGGTGAAATGACGGAGACGCTTATGAATAATGCGCTCGTATAGTTTGCTCAATGTGTTGAGCAGGCTGATGGGTCTGTAGCTAGAGGGACGATTACGCGGTTTACCCGGTTTTGGGATCCCTATTACGTCTGCTTCTTTCCAGATGTCCGGGAAGGAGCAGTTCGTGAGAAAGGTGTTAAATATTCCAACAAGGAGGCAAATAAGTGGCGCCGAAAGGGATTTGATCACCTTGTTGCTGATGTCGTCTGGCCCAGGGGCTGATCTATTTTTAAAACTTTTTATGGTTTCGGTGACTTCGTCTACCGTCACAGGATCGAGTGGTTCACCCGCTGGTGGCAGCGCAGACCTACGTTCTACTTCCGTTTCTACCTCTAATAGGTGAGCGGGATCTATTGGTGCAGTGGATGGCGTGCACTGGTACTCTAGACTGTCTGCTAGGCATTCGGCTTTTTCGAGATCGTCAAGGGCGAGATCGGGGCGGTCCAGCCTCACGAGAGGCGGCATCGGTGCGGATTTGTCGGCTTTAAGAGCTCTCGTTAGTTTCCAGAAGGCGTCTTGGGATGGTTCGATACCTTCTAAGAGGTTATCCCAGTTATCGTTTCTAAACTCGGCTACTCGTTGTTTAATCTCGTTTTGTAGAGAACGTACCCGAAGTTTGTTGGTTTCCGTGCGGTAGCAGTCGTAAGTTTTAAGCGCGGAATTCTTCGCTCTAATCAGCCGTCGAACATCCGCCGGAAGTTTCGTGTATTGATCGCTCGATACACGAACCTTACGGGAGCAATCTTCGACCGCTGATGTGAGGTGAGTTGAAAGGGCACTAATCGCTCTATCGGCCTCCTCCAGCGAGTCTATCTTGTCAGGTATAGTGTCCAAATGCTGGGAGTTCGTAGACTTAAGTTTGACCTCAAGTTTACGCCAGTCGACAATAGTTTTGGTCTGAGAGACCTCACCTGCCGGCCGGCCCCGTTTTAAAACGACCGGCCTGTGGTCTGAGACTAGCTCGATAATAGTCTCTATCGAATTAATACTAAGTCGGATGTCTTTTAGCAATGCTATATCAAGGACGTCCGGATGTTGGTTGTTTGAAAAAGGATAACGTGTTGGACTCTCGGGAGCGATAACATCGAAGTTAAGTCTCTCCGTAAGGTCTCTTAGAATTATTCCGTTAGAATTGTTAACGTTAGAATTCCAGCTAACGTGTTTACTATTTAGGTCTCCTGCGATTATTAAGCTAGGGCCTAGGTTTAATAGAGCCCATATGTCGGAATCTAATATGCTTTTTACGGGAGACAGGTATGCTGATGCAATTATTAATGGCGGATGGCCCGTGAGTGCTATCCTACAGACCGATGCTTCTAAGTTAGTAAGCGGCGGAGTATCTATCGGTACACATTGCAAGGACCTTTTGTAGTAGATCAAGGTGCCGCCTTTAGGTCCGGTCAGCCTATCATTTCTTACTAGGGTATAATTGGCTATTTTGGGATCGCTCAAACTTGGTTTCAAGAAGGTCTCTTGCACTAGCATGATGTCGATATCATGGTTGCGTAAAAAATATGTGATCTCTTCCTTTTGATCTCTGACACCGTTTGCATTAAAGTACGTGACAGTAGAGCACTTAGTTCTACCGGCCTGTGCCAGCGGGACTTATATAGGCTGTAACTTTTCTTTACTTTTGCCTTACCTGGAAGAGTTAGGCTGTAGCTCTATTATGATTTTAGCAAGAATAGGTCGATTCGACCGCGGAAAGACCCCGTCTTACAGAATACCAATGTGAAATAGCCTAAAGCTGCAAGGCTTTGTATGGTGAGTGTAGATTTCATTCTCTATTTGGAATTCATTTCAAACTGCTTACAAAAGTAAAACAAAAGCTCGTTTTTTTACTTTTAAAGGGGTCTTTGTTTTTTTTAAAGCGAAATCTTTAAGACATTAATGTAATTTAAATTATCTTTCACTTTCTTGGAACATAGATGTCAAAGGTATACACACCACAGACTGCACGTTCGCGTTCAGTTTACAAGAACCCGGGGGTCGTTCGCCTCGAAACCCAATACCTGTGGGGTAAAATAAAATAACCCCTGTAGATGACCACCTGACTGACTGACTTTCCTTGAACCTTGAAACAATAAATAACTGACTCACTTAATCATACGACTTACCATAAAGGAAGCAGTATTAGCTTAATTAAAATACGGCTAATTAATTAATATAAAATATTTGTCCTCAGTTTCTTATTAGATAATTCATTAATAACGATATTTTTACGAGATCTAAAAATGCATTAAATTTAACGATTTCCTTCCACAATCGAAGAATCGCCCAGAAACTCAGGTCACTATTATTTTTTTTTGTCTTTTTTTTCTTTTGTTAATCGCCTTTGGCTGTGGCATGTCTATATACGTATTTTATGTATGTAAATGCATTATCGATATAACAGAGAATCGTAATGTGGGAGTAATTTTTTTTCACAAAATAGTAAAAAGAAAATAATTCGTTGGATTTTAATTTGGAAATAACAGATTGAAATTAATTTTTTAATCTCATAGCATTTGGTGATTTGTAAGGAGTTCCAAAATATGAAAATATATTATAATGTTATACTTGCATTTAATTAAAGTTGAGTGTTAAAAGGTTTTACCGTTATTTTAATGTTTTCATTGTTTACTGTATTTGTTTCAGAAAGGACGGAATTTACTACCTCAAGACCAATGCGGAGAAACCTTTCGCGATTGTTGATGAAAACAGCTAATATTAGCAATTGTAGGTTTCCAAGACATTTCTTTGAAGCCTACAATTTACCACGAGCATAATATTAAAGTTACAATAATGTTCTTCTTATTAGTTCCAGGTTTTTCATGTGTGTGTTTTAATTTAAGTGTTAATATTTTTAACATTTTCGTAATTATTTTTTAAATTATGGTTAGTTTATAAGATTTTATTATTGTATCTATTATTAATTTATAAGATAGATAGATAAGCAAAACTAGTTAAGTAATTTATTTGACAAAAGTAATGTTAAATCGAGTAAACTGATGAAAAAAGATTTGGCTGCATAAATAGCTAAAATTCTTTTAAATATATCTTTTTAATTCTTTTAAACAGAAAATATTGACTGTTACACATATAATGGTCGATTTAAAAAGGCTATCGCCATACATTTCACAGTACGCGAGAAACTTTGGTTTGATCACCGCTGGTACCAATAAAATTGTTAATTTTATTTTTAAGTGCTGATTTAAAATGTTTTCAGCGGTGAAATCAACATTTCTAAAAAATTAACACAAATATTATAAAGACCTTATGTGATCTAAAGCCCTCTTAGAAACTGAAGAGACCTATGCCCAGCTGTGGGAAAATTAATATAATATGTCCCACTGCAACGTTAGACTGTAATTTTACACATAGTATTAAGTTAGTTAAGTTATAGCCCATATACGTCCCACCGCTGGACACAGGCCTCCCTTCATTTCTAAGAGGGGTTTTTAGGGCAAGGAAGTGTTCGCCGCGCTGCCCCAATGCGTGTTGGTGAACTTCACATGTCTTCGAAATATTATTTTTTCTTATTTATCAGGCAAGCAGGTGACACTCTAAATTCATTTATTTTTTTGATTACGAGTTCTTGGTGGAAAACTAAAAAATAAAAAAGAAAAAAATAAAAATGTTTTATTTTTTATTGGCCCATAGCATATTAGTAATACAAAAAAAAAAAACTAATAAAAAACCAATATAAATATATAGGCTTTCAAAATTTTTGATAATTTTTTTTAACTTTTTGATGCATGTGATTTAATATACGAATATTGACGTATATTGGAGAAATCTCATTTTGTAATAAAACCAGTAATACGTAGGTCACTCAATAAGTTTTGAGATGCTTGAAATTTAAAAATGGAACGCACCAGTTTTATGTGTTTCTAAAAAGCAAATTTATTTAAAAATAGAACTCCATAAGCCAATTGCTCAATATTAAAAAAAACAAAGTTCTATTAATTTTCCTGCAACGCTTCTCGCGCTTTTCATTAAAAACGACGGATCTTAACGGTAAACATTTGCGCGCTATGATCTATTATGATTTTAAATTTGGTTTAACCAAACAATTAAGTTTACAACGGTTACAATCAGCATTAGGAGACTCAGCTCCATGACGCGCAACAATTTTTAGGTGGTTTGCTGAATTTAAAAGGGTTAAAATTAACCTTAAAGATGACCAAAGAACCGGGGCCCTTCAAACAAAAGTAACGACAGAAAATATATGGACTAGAAATGTTGATTGAGAAGACCGATAAATTACATATACGGACATCGAAAAGATTGTAGGAATTAGTTCGGGGAGCATTCATACCATCCTACATCAACATCTGGGAGTAAGGAAGTTTTGTTGTCGATGGATCCCTCGTTTGCTCTCCGAAAACGAAAAACAGACTCTGTGGATTGGTGCCATGAAATGTGTCTACGTTTTGAAAACGGGGCATCTAAGAAGAAATCGTTACTGATGACGAGACATGGATCTATCAATATGATCCGGAAAATAAAAGACAATCATCGGTTTGGGACTCAGAAGGACAGTTACCGACAAAACTGCAAAGACCTCGCATCGTTGGCAAAAAAATGGTGGCAAGTTTTCGCCGAGCGGACATTTGTCGACGTCAATGCTGGAAAATTGTAGGTCAGTCAACTCTGAATGATATATTACAGTTGCATTACCCAAAGCTTTTCAAGCTGTGCGGGAGAAAAGACCAAAGACCGGGCTTCGGGAAATCATGCTGCATCACGATAATGCCTCTTCACATAGAACAAAAGCATTTATTGAAGAATCTTGTGTTGAAACTCTAAGTCACCTACCCAGTCCTGACTTAGCTTCTTGTGATTTCTTTTTGTTCCCAAGAGACAAAGAAAAAATAAAAGGCAAGTTTTTTCAAGCGACGAAGAAGCCGTGGCTGCCTACGAAGAAATGATTTCCGACCTATCAAATCAAGACTGGCAAAAATGTTTTCAGAGTTGGTTTAGGCGAATGGAACTTTGTATAGAGAATGATGGAGAATATTTTGAAAAGATGTAAAATAAATATTAATAGTATCTCGAATACATTTTGTATATCTTAAAACTTATTGAGTGTCCTACGTAAGCAAAAATAAAACATTTTAATAAAGATTCACTTTTAAAAAAGGTCGTAAAATATGCCACAGGTAGCAAAAAATGGTAGTGATAATGGTATAATTTTGCTCTTCATCCGAAAAATTCTTAATCTCCGACGAAAACAGAAGGGTGTTATAAGTTTGTTGTAAGATAGTTTTTTTTAACAAATTTATTGTGTAATAGTTTTTATTGATAAATATATAAATTTAAGAGTCTACAAAGGTTCTGCACATTGCACAAACCGTTTCCGAGGTATTGCATAAGCCTGCTTCACGTCATTCAGGGAATAAGAGAGGGCGAATTGGCCCTTAACGGACTTTAGTTTTTTCACTCCAAGTAAATTAAAAATGCTTGTGTAGTACTCGTGGGAGGGGTTCACAACAGTAGTTGGGTGGCAGTTGTGACTCACAAATTTTAACTTTGCGGTCCGTTCCCTTAAATATTAGGCTATGATCGTATCAAAACGGTTCTAACGTTTTTCTAAATAACCTTGTGTGCGCAATACGTATAAACTTTCATTTCGTGTCATCATTATCAGCTTGCAGCATTGCACTGTTGGACATAGGCCTCTTCTAAGGCGCACCACTTACCCCATCTTCGGCTACACGCATCCAGTTTCTACCAGTCACCTTGCGCAGGTCATCGCTCCATCTGGTCCGGGGGCGTCCCACACAACATTTGCCTAGACGTGGTCTCCACTCCATAACACGTCTACTCAACCGGTTGTCACTTTTGCGACAGACATGACCAGCCCAATGCCACTTCAGTTTATAAACACGGAAGGCTATGTCAGTAATCTTGATTCTCCGGCGGATTTCTTCATTTTGAATTTTATCTACCAGAAATACACCGAGCACACCTCTTTCCATTGCTCGCTAAGCGACTTTGAGATTTTGAAGTAGCCGTATCGTTAGTGTCAACGTTTCCGCAATATAAGTGAGTACGGGCAGAATGCACTAGTTGAAGACTTTTGACTTCAGAGTTTGTGGCATATGCGACGAGAAAACCCGAAGGAGCTTTTTTAATGCTGCACAGCCTAACTGAATACACCGATCGGCTTCTTTCTCGAAGTTATTCTTACCTATTTGCAAAATCTGCCTGAGGAAAGTATATTCCTGAACAAATTCAAGAATTTTACTATCAACAGTAATTAGAACTGGCATAACGTGATCATTGAACATGCCTATTGTGTTTGTCTTGTCCAGATTCATGCAAAGACCAACACGTTGTGAGGTTTAATTTGCTCTGATCAGCATGTCCTGAAGTTCTTGCAGCGATTCTGCCATGACGATGACATTATCAGCAAAGCGTAAGTTTGAGATGTACTCAACGTTTACGTTAATACCTCGTTCTTTCAAATCTAGCGTCTTAAAAACATCTTCCAGTGCATTTGTAAACAGTTTAAGGGATATTAAATCCCCCTATCTCACTCCGCTATGCTACTGGATTGTTTTTGTTCGGTTGTCCTGTACTTGGATGGATATTGTTCTGGTATTGTGAAGGCATCTCAGCACTTCCATGTAACACCAGTCAATTTGGCACCGCTGCAAAGAATCCAGAACAGCCCAAGATTCAATGGAGTCAAAGGCTATCCCATATTCCGAAAATACAGGACACCGGGGCTTATCATACTCTGTTGTCTTCTGTATTATTTGCCACACTGTGTGAATGTGGTCTATAGTCCAAATCCTCCACGAAATCCAATTCTCCTGTTCCGCAGGCTGAAAGTCGTCGAGTCTTCGCACGAGTCAATTGTAATGACCCTCGAAAACAACTTATAAACGTGACTCAGAAGCGAGATGGATCGATAATTATTCAGGATAGTCTTGTCACCTTTCCCGTGTAATAAGACTATGATGCCTCTGCCTTTGGGGTCCTCCAATCTCGTAAGATGCAGTTGAATATTCGACAGAGCTCTTTTAGCAAGGGTTGACTCTCAGTCTTTAAGAGTTGTTTTAACTCCATCTTCTCCAGGGGCTTTTCCATTTTTAAGTTGGCCGAGGGCTAGTTCAATCTCTCCAGGGGTGATGTCTGGCAGCTCGTCGGTATAGTGGCGGGTCAGCGTAGTTCTGGAATTATCTCATTTAGAGTAAGGTTGTGGATTATGTGAGACATATAGTTTGCCATAATAGTGTTCGATCTCAGAGAGAACCTCTGACTATGACGTGAGGACTTTGCCATCATGTGACTTGAGTTTTGCAATGTGACTTCTTTAAAGCTCCCGAGTAAAGATATTAGATCTCTTGTTTTGCTCTATTGCCGCTTGTGTAGCAATTGTATTACAGCGACGCAGGTTCCGCCACACAGCTTTCCTCACAAGCTTGGCTAGTGTCACCTGTAACACAAGTTCCGATGGTGTTGCTGTTGTTAACTTACGCCTTCTTTTCATAAGCTGAAGTTTCTCATCTGAGAACTTAGGCTTTCGATTTCTGCCCATATGTTGCTTGCCAAAAAACCTGTTGCCCTCATCCCTTAAATCTTGATCACGCTCATAAGGTTCTCGTCAATATCAAACATGGGTTCCTTTTCATTACAGCCTAATAAAGGAACTTTAATACTTATATACAATACACTATGCCTTAGCACCGACATCAGAATGTGAAATAATTTTTG